GTATTGAAATATCAGCGCAATTTTTTTGCTATAAAGGGTCAACTAGGCAATCAGGTGACTAGACAATTTATGTATAAAACAATGAATTTAAAAAAATTACCAATAAATGTTGGATTGTAAAAATTATTGCAAGCAAATTATTTTTTAAGAGAAAAAATAATTCTTTGAACATTTTTATATTTATATAATATTTAATATTTATATAATGCTGTGAACTTTATATATGATATAAAAACATAAATATGAATCTATATATAAATAAACCTCGTTGGTTCGCGATGAACGCCTAAACTACTGAACCGATTTTAAATTTTATTGCCTCATCGTATATATCCAACTTGTTTTATAGGAATTTTTGAAAAATACATTTAATATAGAAATATATAATTTTTATAAATGTCCATAAGTTTTGACAGAAATTTACTTAAAAAAAAAAAGAAACACTAAAATGATAAATGTCAATATTTATGAAAAGTTCGAGAAATAACGATTTATGATTTTTGAAAAAAAAAATTGGCTGTTCAAAAAATACATTAATTTTACTAATTGAAAAAGGAACAGATATATTATTAAGCAAAATGCTATATTCAAAATAACAGAAATATATAATGATTATAGATTTAAATAAATTTTGACAGTTGTAAACTAAAAAAAAGTGAAATGTCATTTGTCAATATCTATGGAAAGTATTAGATGAATAAATTTATAATTTATATTTATTTGGTTTGCTTACCATATTAGTTCGGATACTAAAACGTCCTCAAAACATAATAGATCAAAATGAAAAAGCGACATATCACATTTAACTTTAATCATAAACAAAATTTTAACGTAATCACTGTATATATATATATATATATATATATATATATATATATATATATACAGTAGAACCTCGATTATCCGGACTAATGGTTGTCGATGGGCATCCGGATAATCCAAATTATGAAGAATAATGTTTTGTTTATCAAAAATAACAAATACATACATAGATATCAACAAAAATCGATGTTTATTAGAAAATTAACAGTTTACATACATTATTTACTTTACTAATACATACATTATACATATTATATTAATCATGAAGTAAAATATTCAGGTGGTACGTAAAGTATCAATGAAGAAGAAAAGTTGCTTACGAATAATTTGTTGATCGTTTTTGTAAAAACGAACAATATAGAGCTTCTTCTAAGAGTTAATTTTTCGGTCTCTTCATCATTTTCCGATTTTCACTCCCCTCTTCACTATCTAACTTGCAAGTATACGAAAAGACAAAATTGAATCGGCATTCTTTTTGATATCGCTTATAGTGGATGTACCTACACCATACCTATAAGCTAACTTACGGCCGGTTTCGCCTTTTTTAATGATTCTATAATATTTATTTTATCTTTAAGGGATAACACCACCCTCTTACGCTTAGGCATGTTTAAAATGTATATATGCACGTCAAAACATACTGGTAAAATTGCAAACGAACTACTAAATAGCGATAATGCTGCGCGGGCGGAATATGCAAGTTCCGACGCGATTATGTCCGGATAATCGCGAATCCGTATAACCGAGGTCCGGATAATCGAGGTTCTACTGTATATATATTAGCAATGGGTAACTCACTCCGATACAACTCCTCCCTCGCTGTGAATCCAATCGGGGTTGTGTCGGAGATTTTGTCATATCTGACTTAAGCATATAGAAATGCATCGTGACTTTTTATGATAATATCAACAAATATGTTTGAACTGTTTATAAAAGAATTTCAAATAATTAATGGGATTTAACAAATATTGTGTCGAGTATTTCGTTTTCAAAGTTGACGGAGTCATGGAGTTGTTAAGCGGATATAACTCCTCCCTGAAGTGTAGTCAAATTCTAACTGATCCGGCTTCGGATATGATGAGCCCATCTCTAATATATATATATATATATATATATATATATATATATATATATATATAGATCTGCTTGAAAAAGAAATGAGTAAAATAATATAACATACCCATAAATACAGGACACATCTATTACAACATCAATCATATCACAGCATAATTCGTAACTCTGCATATCAACTGGAGAACTGTCAGTAGCAATATAGATTTTTGATACGACATCAAATAAAAAGGCTTTTTCAATTGCAGAATTCTTAAATAAAATAGGTATAAAAATATTATGAAACATGTTTATGTATAAAATACACGAGTATCTAATTTCATCAAAAAATTGAAAAAAAAAAATTATAATATTACATTTTAATGCTATTATTCTCTTTCTACATACCGATATCAGAATATTGAGTAAATTCTCCAATGTAGGTAACTGAGGTATTAATTTTTGTACGACCTTTGAAAATGCTTCAAAAATTGAATGATCGTAAATCGAAGTCAAGTGGAAACTAAGATTAATTTGATGAAAACCAGTGTCTGTTAAATCATCTGTAGCTCTCTGGTGAATATCTCTTTGAACCTCCATTTTGATATCATCACTTAAGCCATCTACTTTATGTATAAAAACCTCAAACTTTATATTACAGTTAACTTTATAAGCATTTGTAACAGTCAAATTTAACTTATTGAGTGCTTCCATATAATCATCTTGAGCATCAATGACAAATACCAAGGCACCGCATCCTCCAAAAATCATATCTGAATCAAATGTTGGGTCAAAAAAATCTATTTGTCCAGGAAAGTCCCATATTTGAAATTGCACAAAACTACTGTTGTTAATATCGTCCTTAACAACTTTATTGGTTGATTCTAAAAACAAGGTTTCATTCGGAGACATTTTGTGGAAAACAACCTTTTGTATTGACGATTTCCCTGACCGCCTGAGACCCATGAGTAATATCCTAGGTTTTTGTTCACTAGGTATTGAACCAACATTATTAACATCTTGTTCAAAGGCTCCATATCCAAAATCTTTTGGAAAAGATCCAACATCAAAATCTCCCATTTGTTGTTCCTCATCTTGATAACTCTACAAACCAATTGTACATACTCGCATTGTAAATATATTTTGCAACTAAAAATTGATAAATAATGACTTTGAGAAAAAAATATTTGACTGATTATCTTACCATGTTTTAAATAAATAAAATCTTGTAGTTTAATTAAATATTAATGAATTGAGTGTGTCAAAAAAGTGGCAAGGACGTTTAGAGGCTCTTTCGAAATCATAAAACTTTAGAAGATAACAAAATATATTTATACCAAAGTTCTACTCAGAATGGAAGTATTTGTGTGCATTAAACAATTTAAAAAAATAGTGTTAACGATTTATCATGTCTAATTCCATATAAGTAATTATGTACATCAAAAATTTATCAGTGTCAAATAAAATGTGTGGATGTGTGTGGATATATGAATAAATTAAATTAAATACCATAGGTGGCGCTAGTTCATTATTGCGTATTTTGATTCCATAGAGCACGGGTAAAGTAGTCAAAGATATTATTCACAATGAGCATTGAAGCTCGGGCCTTGATATGATTTTTTCGATTTTTTTATATATTTATTTTTAATAATGTTCACACACACTTTTGGATTTTTTAAGGATAGAGGAATTATATATTGTTCTCATAAATTAATTCATTAGAGTCGGCATTATTTCAAAAGTTTTATAAATGGATTTATATGGAAATATGGACCAAAGCATAGATAAAAGAAGAGTATATAGATCGCTCTCTCGGGCCATATTTCGTTGCCACATTCCTGTGTTAGTTGAAGCCCCGCGCTACAGATGGCACTAGTCGCCTGAACGGGTGCGTATAAAAAATACTATAGAAATGAACCAAAATTATATGGACCGTTTTAATTCAAAATTTAAAAAAAGAAAAATTGAAAAAAAAAAAAATTTTGAAGCATTTATTTTTCACAAAAACATTCTACATTATATCTACATAGTTCTCTTTATAAACAAAGCACACATAGCATAAAAATGTACATAAATATACACATTATCCACAATGTATATATATATATATATATATATATATATATAACATTATATATGATTATAATAGATGGTAGTAAGCTGTAAAAACTATGTGCGAAAAGCATAAAAATGTACTTAAATGTACACGCTATCCACAATGTATATATATATATATACAAATATATATATATATATATATATATACATATATATATATATACATATATATATATATATATGTGTGTGTGTAATATCATTTTAGCATATCAGCCTTTCAAGCTGAGCACAAAAAGAATAGAAATGTACATGAATGTATATATTATTTATATATATACATATACATATATAACCACAATTCTTTGATTGATATTGATTCAGATCAATATATAACCAATATATATATATATATATATATATATATATATATATATTTACATATATATTTATTTTGATTAACATTAAGTTACATAATATCTATGATGTACAGTCTCTATTTGGGAATCTTTTCTGCGCTATTGTTAATGTGCATTCAAATGTTTGTTCAAAATGTCATTATTATCATTGTCTTAAAGAAAAACAACAATCATTGATATTATTATAACAGTACTTAATAGTTTTCTTATAGCATCTACAATAAGACATTTTAGAGTAAAGCTATTGACATCTCTTTCAGAATAGTCAAATGCAATAAGCAAGTGCACATTAAGGGTGTTTTATCCCTTTGCTTTTTAGAATTTTATCATTAATCATGATTATACTTTGCCTGTCATTTGACAGTTCCTGAAAATCTATACAATGTGATTCCCTTTATCATCATTAAACAACACAGATAATAATATTTCTTGTAATATCAAAATGAAATTATTAATACTTAAAAACTTTTCCTGTGACATAGCCAAACCTAAATTAACCTTTGCACTAGCTAGAATTTCACCATTTATTGAGAATTTCCTTTCACTTACGATTATATCATTAGTGTTTTTAGTATGTTCTCCAAACTGACTTAATATATAATTACGAGTCGTACTGTTCAATACTAGTGGGAGATCAGCAAAGATTTCAGCACATTTCAGACTTCATTCTTATTGTTTTTTCCTGTGTATTCATTCATCTCATATCAATACTTGTACACTTGTGAATGTGTTTAGTAAACCGTCTAAACATTTTACATTTGAACGTATTTTCCTTTTATACTGCTGAAAAAATCGATGTAGAATTATTAGTTATGATCCTACATTATTAGAACAAGATTAATTTATATTTAGTTATTTAATAACATACCTTTCAGAGAGCTGACAGGAATTCTCTCTGTCTATTTATAACCTTAAAATTTCTAGTATTGATATAGTTAAATGTCTCAATTATTTCTGAATTATTAAACTGTAATGAAAAATCATATCAGAATAGTACAATCAAATGAAAGTAATTCGAAGTATGCATATTAATAAAAGTACTCACTTAGATTGAAAGCCGGCAAATATTATTACTTATTTTACTTTTACTTCGTCGTTTCTCGCTGGAACTACATAATACATGCATTTTTCTTGGTATTTCTTCTTCGTTAAACAATGCACTTCGACAGCTTATTTGTTTTTTACTCTAACAAGCATTTATTATATTGTCTAGGTTATCTCTCCATGAAAAATTTATTACAATGGACGCCATGTTTAATTTAAGTATCTGTCATATGTCAAATTCGATTTCAAAGTGAAAAAAAAATAAAAAAAAAAAAACAAGCGCGACCGGCGGCAGGGGCTCTAACTAAACTCGGGTTACAGACGTTTGTTCCGAGATTACCGGCCATGGACCAAAGTAACTACAAGTACCATTAAATATGCAAATACTGTTTTGTTTTCAAATTGATTTGAATGCATTGCTATGTTTATATTTTCAAATCATAGATAGTAACAGAATAAACGATGTATAATTTTTTATAGAAATATTGGAGTAACTAAAAGCTACTATAGGTCGACCTATAGTTTGGTATTCTAGGATCCTTCTATTAATGTTTCAACAACTGCTTTATACAAAACTTAAATTCAATGTATGTAAAACAGTCTACATCATGGATGATATGTGTGTAACATTATATTTCATTGATCAAGGTTTTGTCATCTATCGCATACACTCAACACACAATATATATATATTGTATATATATATATATATATATATATATATATAAATTTGCTGAATCGCTACTTATCTTCTTCGTGTGCTTCGTGTTTTTTCATCATTGTGTGGGTGCATAAAACTTACATTACACAAATTTTCGGTTTAAATTGAAACCAAAAAATGTTAACTTTATATTGTTTATTTTCTATATCTTAATTAATTTTTGAAGTAAAACTTCTTTAGGCGCGATATGGGTGTAAAAATTTCTTTAGGCTACACGGGTGTAAATCCGTACAAATGCAACGAAAACGCCAACGTGAAGTTGAACACTACGACGCTGTAAGCGCTGATGTCGCGAGTCGCGATCCACTCCCATCATGACATGCGTAAGTCGAACGCTAAACCTATATGAACTTGCATTAATTGAATCACGTTTTGTTACAAAAGAAGAGGTTGCCGTATTATGTCCTCATGGAAAAAGACTTTTCTTAGAGAATAAATATGTCATGGAATATAATAAATTTATATTGAATCGTTGAAGACAAAATAATATCTACTGCCACGGATATTTGTGTAGGTTGCCATGCGACAGATCAACAATCATACATTCGTCAGCAGTTTCACAAAAATCGGTTATTGATACCGGGGGTTTGCCGTATGAAATAATTTTAGTTCTGAATAAATTTTACATAATAACAATTAATATTGATGTAAGTGATGGCTTAGCTAATGGTTGTGTAGGAAAATTAGTGTACATAGAACGTGGCGATAATGATGAACTTCTACGTTTATGGTTTGAATTTCCTGGTAAGATAGGTAACAAAATTAGGAAGAAAGCTGCACATCATATTCAAACTCTTAATATCAGTAGGACAGCTGTGCCGATTCTCAGGAGATCTTCATCTATTCCAATGAATAGAAATAAAACCATATTTGCCAAAAGAAATCATTTTCCTTTAGTGTCTGCTTGTGCACTCACAATACACAAATCACAAGGTGGTACTTTTGATGAAATTGTATATGAATACAATAAAACACATAATCAGCAGCTTCTATATGTTGCTTATGTTACCAGGATTAATGGATTGTTCATCATTTCTAAAAACAACGACAAAAAATTTATCATGGAAGAAAACGGCCAGCAGGATTAATGGACTTACAAACTGAATTCCAAAGACTTTCAACTTGTAGATTAATAACACAAGAAGAAAAATTGAGTGAGATAATAAGTTTGAACGACATTTCATTGTTTTCGTTTAACTGCCAAAGTTTACGAGCTCATTTGCCTGATCTGCTCATTTGCCTGATAAAGTGCTACAACGTTGTACGTTTTTGTTATTTTCGGAAATTTGGATTAATAATGAAGAACGAATTGATATTCAGAACTATTACTGCGTTACTCAATACAAACGATCAAACTCAAGAGCAGGTGGTGTAGCTGTCTATCATTCATGTTCAGATACTCTTCATAGTGCGACTCCTATGCAGTTTCTTGCGCCAACAATATTACTGGATATTCCTAATGAAATTACACAAGTAGGTGTGATATTGCAGTTGTCCGCTGTGTGAACACTCAGAATCAAACATTAATTATAGTCGTCCTTTACATTTCTCCCAATAAAAACGTATCAAATATTATTAAATTTCTTCATCAGCAGTTACTTCATTTTTCTAATGAGGGTGCAAAACTTTTAAATACTAATCACAACGGGATACCATTAGGAGATTAGCTGGAGATTTCAATGTCAATTTTAGTTCAGAAGAATCACAACCATTAATTGATTTTTTAAATAATAAATTTAATTTAACAATGAATAATTCTCCATTTGAATCAACCACAAGATATGGCACGACTATTGATGCAGTTTTCTCAAGAAATGTACATAGTTTACAAAGCAAAATTTATGTCTCTCATTTCAGTTATCACAAACCTATTATATCATATATGAAATGTGATAGCAATTAATCTATCGCTGTTGTTTTAAGCTGTGTTATTGATGTTATGTGATTATTAATAAATGATTTTTAAAATTTAAATATGATGTTTTTTTATTTTTATTTTAATTGCCTACTCATACAATATTAAAAGTTTTACTTCAATCGCGTGTGATCCTTATGCGCACTCTTTTTTTTTTTTATTGTTTTTTCTGGTGTGTTTTATCTTTTAATAGCTAAGAATATAATGACGATACGACTATATGATCTCACTATTGAAGTTCTTATCTATGATCAAATATTTAATTTGTAGTCTGTGCACAAAACAAAAACAGTGTCATCCGTTCGATGATAAATAAATAAAGTCGACAAAAGCGAATCTGTATATAGTAATTGGAAGAAAAAGTATTTTGTGGTTTTGCACAGCAATTACTGGATACTTTAAATTGGCAAGTAAGTAAACAAGTTACAATTTCATAGATATAACGTGTATTAAAAAAAAACAGATTGCTGACAGCATTTTAAGGAATGGATTTCAAATATAAGAAGCTCGTTTCGTTCGACGATAGGAAAAATGAAGGACACAGCATATGTTCGAAATATCCCGATCGTGTTCCTGTAATAGTTGAAAAAACATCTAGATCTCGAATTGGTAATCTAGACAAAAACAAGTTTTTAGTACCTGAAGAGTTTACTGTTGGACAATTTTACTACCTCATTCGTAAACGAATACAGTTGCGACCAGAAGATGCTCTATTTTTTTTTATTAACAATATTATACCCCCCACATCTGCAACTATGGGAAAATTGTATAAGGAATATCATGATGAAGATTATTTTTTGTATATCGCTTACTCAGAAGATAGTGTCTATGGAGGAAAAAATTCATAGGATAATGAATTATTATTTATTGTTTAATATATACATAGATTATATAAATTAAATTACTATGTAACTCCTTATAAATTATAATTTTATTATACAAATTTCTCACATGATTGCAGCATTTTTTTTATATATATAATTCTTAATATATATTTATATAACAAATCAATATTACAAATAGTTATTTTACAATTTTTATATTATAGATTTACTCTATATAAACTTTACATTAACCTATAAGTCACCTTCTTCAAAAAATGATTCGATGCCAGGAGGCGGAGGCTGTTCTAATTTAGCTCTTTTTGAAGTTCCTGTATTAATAGGTAGCTCTGCAGTCACTTGTGAAAAAGAAATATCTTTCAACATGACTGGGGGAGGTTTGTTATACAATATGGGGGCCTGTGTAACAGAACCTAATTTAGCTTTTCCTAAACTGTCAGAACAATTATTGCTAGTTGACATTTTATCAACAGATGTTACACTAGGACTACTTAATATATCATCTGGCACCATACTCAAGAGCTCTTCCTCACTTAACTGAGCCAATTTACTCATTGGCTTAGTGATAGGTGGCGGGGGAATTTGATACTTATGAACTAAGGGTGGAACATTTAATATAGGATTGGTAGTATTTATAAGTGACATATCATCATTTATAAGTTTAGGCGGAAACCGCTCGTCTACATCTTTCAAAGGCAGTTTAAATGCAATTCTATCATCAACATCAGCAAATATTTGTGAACTTTTACGTTCATCAATATCGCTAAGTGGTAAGTTCAAAGATACATCTGTTTGATTAATTGATTTTAAATTTGAACTGTTATCTTTATTTGTATATAATGAAACATCACTAGTTGGTTGACCTACAATTTGATTTTTTAAATGTTTTATACCTAAATTATAACCCTGATGTGAATTTATTGCAAGATCGAATTCCCGTTTATCCCGTAGATAGGAACTTGGTGCAGTTGGACTATATTTGTCTTCAATTCCGATTCCCACAGCTTCAGGAGTCATAGGCAAGTAAGACGAAGTAGATGAGGGCTGGTTAGTGGTCTTACTTTGAATACTTGCTAAGATCTCTTGTAAATTGGAAGGTAAAGATATGTTTTCTAGAGCAGGTATTGAAGTATTATCTGGAGTGACAGGCCTCGAAGGTGAATAATGTTCATCCAACTAAAACAAATAAGTTAAATGTTGTAATGCAAAAATAAGAGCAACAATAATACAAGACAATTTTCCTCATTATTAATTATAAAGATTAGGTCATTAGTTGAACTGATCTAAGTTATGCTCAAAACAAATGAAACTATAGGGTTTTCATATGATATCAAAGATGAGCTCTACAATCATTATCTTATGTGGAATAATCTAATCTGTGATATGGAGCATAATGCCATTACAGAAATAATTAGATGTGTACTGAAAGTATTGTCTTCGCATTCTTTTTGTTTCACAGAACAGAGTTTATTTTATCAATTAATTTGTCATCTGCCTTCAACCTGACCGAAGATGAAATTGTGTCTTATATAATAGATCAGATTTTATTGCTACGAGATTTTTAAATCACTTGATATTTTGTTACAATTATTATACTAACTTGATCCTGATGTGTTCCAATGATTCCAGCGCTCATTGATTGAATTTGCTTTTTCTGTTCTTCTATTCGTCTATTCAACTCTTCCATTTTTTTCTCTATTTCTGAGGGCTCCTCGGAAGGAATATATAATAGATCTGCTTCTAATGTTGGCTTAATAATTGTGGTGCCCAGCAAATCTGTCTCACCATTGTCACTGCCGCCAGGGCTATATGGTTCATCTTCTGCTGTAGATGCTGCTAAAAATGATACAAATTTAATGTGTGTAAAAAATAAATAATATGAGGAGTCTAATTAAATATAAATTGACTGTTTTTAATGTAATGTATTAATGTAATTATGTATGTAATTTCAATGTAGCATCTGTCTTAACAGTTAAAATACATATAATTGCTGATTCTACATAGCTTTAATTCACACTGGACAATTAATTATTAATAAAAATATCAAATTATTAATAAAAATGTAATTGTAATGTAAACAGTGAATGTTTACATACTGTTAATATTAAAATGTTTACCTAAACTGGCTGCAATTTTTTCTTTAACATGATCGGTTAATGGTGGCAAATTGACTGAGCTTGCACTAGGTATAAGCTTTTTTAAACTGCCTGGTCTAGGACTTGTTGGGGGTGTATATCCTTGATCTTCAGTTAACCTTTTGTTATTTGAGAATGGCTTTGGAGGAGGAGAAACCAACTTTCGCGAAATCTAAAATAATTTGAATAATGAACTATGAAGTAAAATATACATGAGAGTATGATTCTCAACCTTTTACTTATTGAATATCAGATTTATTCAACAATAAAATAAATGCCTCAAATAAATTAGCTGGGAGAATCATTCCTATTCAAGTAATTAAACGCACCTTAGCAGTTGTTGGCATTGGCAATGATAGCATATTCGCTGGCCGTTTTCTTCTAGCTCGTACTATAATTCCTAGTAATGTATTTGGCAAGATTTCTTTACTATTTTCATTTACTGATAAAGGTAGCAGTACTGTTGGAATAGAATCCTTTTTACCCAATGGATAAATATAAAAATCCTTTATGGCTGAACTAGTTTGCTTGATCACACCAAGCCTGTTGAAATTATATTAATTTAATATAATTAATTATAATTAATTAATATAATATATTAAAATCTGGCATTAGACTAATGATTCTATAAAAATATTAATACCTTTTTCTTGTACTCAGATATGTGTATAGCCCAACATAAGGTACTCTTTCCTCTTCATTTATGGGAGTTAATTGTATAACGATAATATCTTTTGTATTAGAAGTTTTCATTTTAGCTATATATTCCCAGACAGTAGAAAAACCGATTCGTCCAACTATATCTAAAACCCCAGGCAAATCTTTTGCCAAGTCATGACAGTCTCCTGAAATCTTTATAAATCTATTAGAAATGACTTACTTATTCCAAATATTCAGAATATATATTATATATATATAATAAAAAAAAAAATGGTTCTCTGTACAAAGGCAGGCTAGCAGAGTGAGAGCACCACCAATTTATTCCTATTCCCTGTGTGAGTATATGTATAAATAAAATAATTTTTTCAGATCGTAAAAGGTGCGTAGATATAAACAAAATTTAGCTTTTAAAGTATTTCATGTGGGCAATCAATAAGCGTCGATATTCATAAAAAATTTTTTTAGAAGTATTCAAGAAGAAGATTGTTCTAACTTGTTTAATGTGTCATTAATAGAAAGAAATAATTACTAAACATGCACTTTATGATATTTTATGAAATGAGTTAATATTTCCTCATACAGTAGAAACTCGTTTATACTACCAACCGCGGACAATTTAAATGTATGTATATACCTACAATTCGAATTCGGCATGATTATGCAGCAGTTAGTATGAGAAAATATGTATGTACATACAGAAGGAAGTGTTAATTTCCTAAACAACATTTTTGTTGGTGTATATGTATGCATTTGTCATTTTTAATTAAACAAAATTATTCTTCATACACTCATCCAGATTTTCGATTATCTGAGTGCCTATCGACAACAATTAGTCCGATTAATAGAGTTTCTATTGTATATATATTTGTATATATAAACATAAGAGAGTCAAGTCTTAATAATTACCTGAAAGGCTAAAACACCAAAATGTGCAACATCTACCATATTCACTACACCATTCCATATTTCAGTTCCATCCTTGTCTTCAACCAATCCTATTGAAGATGGCTCTGTACCATAAAACTCCGTTACAGTGCTTGTTGGTTCTTGGTAGCTTTCACCTTCTGTCAATGGCTGCTCCTCACTTGAATCTTCTTGTGGCTTTGGCAACTCTATGTCTTGAGTATGATCAGCAATTGATAGAATACTATCATCTTTCATGGTTTCACTAAGAGGCTGACTTACTTGTTCTTTTTCTTTAATTTCTTCTTTCCTCTCTTTGTTTTTGCCTGACTGCTTCTCCATGTTTTCTCGAGTTGATTTTCTACGACTACTCTCTCTCCTTGTAACAGGTGACTTTTCTTTTGAGTTTCTTTTATCACGAGATTTATGTTCTGTGGATAATTTCTTATCTTTTCCTTTACTTTTACTATGTCTTTCACTATATTTGTCTCTGTCTCTGTCATGACTTTTATCTTTAGATCTTGTGCTATGGCTAGATTTATTACGACTATGAGATTTTTCCTTGGTATGTGATGATGCTTTGGATTTATGATCGCCCATTTGTTTACTTCCATTTGATTTATCAAATTTTAATTTATGCCTATCTAGCAATGTTGGTGTTTCAAATGTTTCTATTTCAGGTGGCTCTGAGGTACTACTTACTGCAGAATTATTCAGAGCTGATACAACATCTTCCACAGCTACTGTTGGATCAACTTCTGTCATATCTGAAGTACGGCTTTCCATAATTTCTTCTCCTTTATGTGTTTTCAACACATAAGTTTTTGCACAGGCCAGAAGATCTAGTTCTGATTTCTTTATCATTTCAAGTTGGTGTTTTGCTTCTTTAGCTCGCCATTGTGCTAATTCTTGACTAGCAAGTTCATCAGGAGACATTCTGACCAATTGTTTAGGTGTAATATCTCCTTCGCAAATTTTTTTGTATAAAGTAAAATTTTTTTTGTCTTTTATATTAAATAATAAAGATCTGTATTTTGCTTTATATTTAGAATCTGTATCTTTGAATAAATTAAACATTTCATTTTCTATTTCATCACAATATGCCTTAATGTCATCTGGAGACCATTTATTATCCACATTTTCCGAACTCCGTAACAGTAAGTGTTCCTGAAATTATCAAGAATAAAGTTTAGAAAGGTAATACGTAGTAATAATTAAAATGAAAATATTTAATTTAAATGAACTATATTCAACATTAACAAAAATATACAAAAATGCTCTAAAAATATTATACATATACTTAACAATAATAAAATATTTTATTTAGTACTAATCTGCCTTAAAAAACAACAATATACTAATTCTGTAACCTAAGAATATTATTGAAAATTGGACAAAATTTAATTTCAACTCTTAACTCATTTAGACAAGATTACTCATTAAAATAAAATAATTTTATATTAAACTAAAAAATTATATCAGTTCGAAGATGAAAATCTGGCAACAATTAGGTTGTTTTCAGTCAACAACAACTCACTTTTAAAGTCTTCCTAACATTTATTCTTATTGGCTCTGTATCAGCTACCCTCGGCTTCTCTCCCTTTTCTCTTGGTGATGGGATTGGAATTTTTACAGGCGTTGCAGGAGCAGTTTTAGCATTTTGTTGAGCTATTGCTTGACTAGTTTTATTTACATTAAGTCTGCTGTTCTGATTTGTCATAACTTTGGCACTTGGCTTTGAAACATTAGCAACAGCCTGTTTAATCGGTGTAGGTAGTTTTGCTGGTGGTTGTATAAGAACTATTTGCTTTTGTGTTGTTTTAAGAGAATTATAAGGCTTTTGTAATTTATTATTTAATGTGATTTGGTTAATTTTTACAGGAGTAGCTTTTCTCATGTCAACTATGTTTTTAACCTGAAATTGTAAAAAATATTAAGTAATTTTATAAATGTGTAAGAATTATTGATTTATGAAGTATTTTATCAAGAAAATTTACTTGTGTTGGAATTTTCTTTCCAATATTTTGTTGGTTTGGCCCAGATTTCAAAACTACCTCAAAAGTGGGATTTTCTTTTAACCAATGTTCTAGATTTTCAACTGTTGGAGCAGAATCCCCAGCTAAACATCTACCAGTAGTTCTTTCGAAAACAATTACCTAAAACATTCGATTTTGATGTGATATATTGTATTAATGCATATTATTCAATGTGAGTAATTATGTAATTAAATAGCTAATGTTAACACAAAATTTAGTCACACAAAAATGCATAACAATAGATTTTTCCTCAAATCTTTCTAGTGAAATTTATACAATATTCATATTTTGTAACTTAATTAGCACTTACTCTATCACTCTTGGTTTTTATGATATTTTGGAATTTGGGCTTCGTTGATGTTTGAATACTTTTGTTAGAATCTTTATCTGCAGACTGGGGTTTACTAATTATACTTAAACTGACTTGGGCATGCTTCAGTATACAAGAGTCACTGCAGTAGATACTACTAGCTCTAGCTTCCTTTTTACACACAATGCATGTGGTATGATTTAAATTAGTATTAACTGATTTCTCATAAGGCACTGAATGAGTTGGTGCAGATTCAACACCCAGTACCATGTCATAGCCCACCGAAGTGCTATTAGGAGCAACCTATTAACATTTTAGCATTAAGAAATATGACTTATTAAGAATATTCTAATTTGAAATTTAGTTATATTTAATAAACATGATTAATTCCACAGTTTGGTTTAGTAAATATAGTAAAAAGTACTTGTGGATATTCCAAAATAAATGCTTGGGTTATTTGTAAGCCCCATTTATTAGTAAAATCATTTCCAATGCAAAATAAAGGCTTTACATACACAGTTCAAAGAAAATCAGCATGGAGAACTTGCATCTGACTTTGAATCAACTTTAAATTTAATTGGAAGTTCAATCCATAGTTAACATAATTATAATACATTTAACTTTCTACTTATTTAGTGCATAGATTCTAGTGCAAAAATCTCTATTATATATATATATATAATATTGAACAAATCATTAAGATTTATAATGCCCAGTGGGTGATGAAAGTAATGTGGAATACTTCATATGAAATTCCATGCCTAAAATAAAAAAAAGCACTGACCTTTTCAGTCTGGTTGTAATCTACCTCTTTCTTTTTAACACAATTTGGGCAAGACCATTCTATTCCCTGCTCTTCCATTTGTTGACCCATTGCTTTAGTGATATTTACACATTTGCCATGAAACCAATCTTCACATTTATCACAACAAATCATAAATCGATTATTGTGTGGTTGTTGACATATACACCATAGTCTGAAAAAGCACATATTTTAGTTTAGTTTTTTACTTTGTTTCTAGAAAGTATACATAAATTAATATTTAATTTGTATTAGACTGTTGCATATTTTAAATTTAAAACAGTTAATACACAAAAAAAATTAAGTTAATTTTCACTTAATGGTATGAGTAAAAATATATGATAAATTGTATAAAATAAATCTTTTTAAGTAATGTTATTTGCATGTTATATATGAGTCACATGAATGTATTATACTTATATCAGCATTGTTAATATAAGATTTTAAAAACTAGTTTAATAAGATGTATATAAATTTTTAATTTATAAATTAAAAATTAAAGGCATTAAGAGTAATTTATAAAGTATTTAATACAAATCACTTCCAACTATTTCAGCATATTAAATATAATTGTTACATCAAAACCAAGCATTAAAAAATAAATTTTGAACATTTTTATCTAATTTATCAATATGATAAAGCCTGGCTCACATGAGTGTTGTGAAACTTAAAAATACCTTGTAAAATGAACAATTCCATTACATATCTAGACTCTAAATTAAATATGGTGTGAAAATCAATGTATGTTAAATTATCCATTGAAATAAGATTAATCATTTAGTAAAACTATAACATATAATATGGTACGCGTTATATCTTTATAGTAAGTATTATGTATCATGAGTTTAATACAACCATTGGTTCTAAAATTTCATGTTCATTCACTTCATTAGTGCATAGACTAAAAGCAGCTGGCCTGGATAAATTTTGATGTAGAAAACTAATATGTTATTGTATAATATTATAATAAAATAAACAATGTCTAAAACAAAAACATGAAGGTTACACTCTAACCTGTCACATATTTTGTCTTTAAAATTTTTGAAACAAAAGAGAAACAAAATCTATATGAAGAACATATTGCCACAGTTACTGAGCTGTAAAAAGTTATTTCCAAATCAGTAAGTTCAGTAGTATTTAAAATGATTAGCTTTTATTAGCGACTATTGATACATAATTTCTTTTACACACACACACACACACATATATATATATATAAATATATATAAATATATATATTTGTTAACATGCAAATGTATTAGAAAATTTTTCTGCATGGTTATGTGTATGTAAAAATTACATAAAAATATCAGTTTACATATAAATGTACTTGTACATACAAAATACAATTTTATATATACATGCAAAACCTATTGTCAAATAAATCTTATATATTATTACTTTAAAAACGTTGATTAATATGGTATTAAATTAAAATAAATATATATTCATATAGTGAATGCTTCTTACACCTAAAGAAATAATATCCACAAAAAAAATTAATAAGAAAAACAAGATTTTTTAATATTAGTTAAAAAAATAACCACTCATAATATTAACTAACAAAAGGTATGTAACAAATTATTATTGCAGAAGCTGTGCACGCTACTCGACTAATTTTGAACTTAATCATGCAAGAATTAGAATATTAAGGGATAATTATAATGTATACAATACCTATCAGGATCGTCCTCACTTCTCCAGCTCTCTGCATCACTGTCTTCTTCTTCATCTTCTTCGCTCTCAGGTAAGGAATGTTGCATTACAGATTTATGCATACTATTAGTTCTTGCACGTTTTTTAGGTACCTCTGGTACAACTTTTTTAACAGTTACAGGAATTAAATCAGCCTTTTTAGTGCTAACTATATTATCTATCTTAGATGAAGTCACAGCAGGTGTAATAAGTTTAGTCACTGGAGTTACACTATTGGAAACTGATGCAGTCACTTGATTTTTTCTCTTTGATCTTGTAGCAGGAGCTTCAATGGGAGGCAATGTTATAATGCGACCATCACTACGTACAATCTGAATGGGCTCCTTTCTTGCCATAGCTGCTTCTTTGCTTGCAAGTTTGGCTTGAGCCAATTTTACAAATGGTGACTCTACAGGTTTAGGTTTAGGGGTCACTACTGTTGGAGGAATAGTTGGGGTAATAGAGGCAGGTTGTTCAATTGTTGTCGGATTTTCTAATTGTTTGTCAATGACAGCTTTGATATCACTATTCTCAACCAGTGTTTGTGTAATATGCATAAGGAAATCCTCACTTATATCCTCACCAACATTATGCAAACTTTCTAACAAAGTGTTCTCTTCTAAATCTAAAGATCCTGCACTAACTGCAGATAATGGACCAGAATCTGGAATGTCACTATTAGTTAATGCTTGTATGCTAACTGCTTCTAAAGGATTAGGAATTTTATTTGGAGAATCAAGTAAATTAACACCAACAACATTGCTTAGAAGTGTAGCCTCATCCATGTTAGTTTCTGCCTCAGTTGCACCACTGGCTTGCAAAATACTAGCAAGGCTTGGCAATGAAGTGATAGGTGGTACAGATAAACTACTATTCTGATCTGGGAAGCTACTCCCATTAATAAATTTATCAATAAAATCCAAATGCTTTGGATTATTGTCAGTTGACTCGCATAAACTGTATGTACTCTCTTTAGATGAAATTGAAATAAAATCTTCTGTTGTATCTTTGTTTTGTTTTTGTTTTTCAACTTTATCAGATTTCATAAGCATACTAGTTGATTCCGAGCAACTGTCAATACTTTTCCTCTGATCCATTGATAGCCTTCCAGGAGGTGTTGAAACTTTTTTAATTATATCAGGAGATGAAAACAAAGATGTCATATCACTAAATAAAGCTTCAGTGACATGAGCAGGTGGCTTTTTATCTTTCTTTGCTTGAGCTTTTGAAATAACCTTTGATTCTTCATTCGCTTTTGGAGTTTCTAATAACACTTGCTCTGGTGAAATAGACTTTGCAATCTCTAATGGGGGTGTTTTCTCCTTTTTAATCATTTTTGAAATTTTTACAGGTTTAGGTTTAATTTTCTTTTCTACCACTGATTTAGTGACATTTAAGGAATGTCTTCTAGATGTAGGTTTAGCTAAACATACATTTCCACCTTCCATTGCCTGCAACATGGATTCTACTTCTAAATGTTGAGCACTTGCCATTGATTTTCGTCGTTTCGGCTTTTTTATGGATTTAGTTCTAGTCATGCTTGATCCTTTAAAACCTTTAGTTCCCCTCCTCAACTTGGCAGATCTTCTTTCATTAATATTAAAATCAGCATCACTGCCGTCATCTGATGATGCACTTTCACTTGAAGGCATATGCTCAGAATCAAAATCATCTTGTTCTAATAAGGTTTGTAAATCTTCTTGTGACCGATCTTGTAGTTCTTGACCTTTTTTAACATTGGATATAGGAATTGGAGGTTTTAATAGAACAATGTCATTTTGATTATGGGCAGGCTTTGATAATTTAGTATTATACAAGTTCCTTTTAACATCTTTGGTGGGCAGTTTGATTACTTCTGACTGACGTCTCTTGGGATCATCTGAAACTGTACTAGGTGGACTGTCAATTATTACAGGTAATTTTTGACTTGGAGAAGTAAGAGGCGTATAGCAATGGTCATTTTTAATTACAAACAAATTGAAATCTGTTGTATCCAATGATAGGGGTGTACTACTGGGAACATCTCCTTGGAAATCTAGAATAGAATATACAAACATATGAGATACATGATAATAATAATATAAATGTGCATAGTTGAAATAAATAAGTGAATATAAGTATAAACAGAATTTTAGACTTTTGCACTATTGCTATGTTTATTTATAATCAACTGCTACACAAATAGCATTACATCAAAATTTGAAAAAAAAATCACAATCGTAAAGGTTTCAATTCATTTCATTTTCAATTTTATTATTGAAACTTTTATACCAAGAACTATTATATTATTGAATAGTAAACAAATAATACTCAAAAAATACTCAAATTGATGTTAAACAGAACTAGTTGTCAAAATTAAAGTACAGCCTTCAGCTAGAACTGTTACTAAACTCAATGTATCATGTTGTTCATACTGGCTTATATTGTATTGTATACATGTACAAAACACTGTTTACGAAAAAATATTAATTCAACTTACTCATTATATTTGCTGCTATCGTTCTTGACTCTTCGGGTGAATAATAACTTTCTAGTGTAAAATGAACTTCAGGCATTATTGTGCTGTTAATCTCCGCATTATCAACCCCTATATTGAGTTCATTATCTTTATTGGCTGCACCAATGTTGTCATTATTTGAAACACGCACTACGTTTATTGAAGTGGATGCAGATTTGTTAGCTGAGACATATGCAGTAACATTAGAGATATTATGAAAAAAATACATTACACTGTAATACTACACATTAATTTTATTTGTATACTCATGCTTTTGAATTCATAAGTAATAAATACATTAATATTATTGAAGAACAAAGTAAAAATGTCATTTTTCACATGTTGTTCAGAAAGTAAATGACAACAGTAAACTATGTCTTATTAGTTGTTACTTTATACTGAACTTATTATTTGTTTACTACTAACAAATTATTAATCAGAGTCCAACCAAATTTAATGCTCACTTAATAATGACTGCAAACTGTTATGATCGACAGATATGGAACCATCGTGATTTACAAGGATTACCATTGTATCCTCTTTGAGAGGTTCACAATCTTTGAAAACTGAATTCGACATTGTACTGCTGTAACCATTTGCAACGCTACAAATGTTTATAGATTATAAATTCATCACAAAAACATGTCTCTATAGTCATCTTATATTTTGGTTTAATTTGCCTCAAACATTGATTGACGCCATTTTTACAACGACGGCGTTCAACTAAAGTTTCCTCATGGAATTAGATTGCACAAATATCATACACTTAACTACTTGTATAATAGATAAAAATATAATTAATTGATATTATATACGATTAAAATACAATTATCATCACAGATTAATTCTCTTTATAGCTTTGATCCGCCATTTAATACATCGTTATTCATTTGCGAAAAAGCTTGGGTAGCGAGTGATCAACGTGAGCAGTGCTACCAACAGAGAAAGCTAATCGCTTGCGAACGCACCCTAGCCATAGGCAATAGAAATAAGCACAATAAGCCTGCCTAGCCAACATTATTAAATGTAAGAACAAATCAAACCGCTTAAAGCCGTGCAGTGCAGTGTTTGATTATTATTTATTTCAATTATTTTATTTTAGATTGAAATCTCACACAAGACCATAATAATAGAATAGTAGAATAAAGAGTTATTAAAATGAAAAATATTATTTTGGGGTATGAAACATTGATAATTAATACCGATTAAATACGAATAGTTCAAATGGAAGCTTATAAACTTGTTGACAGCCCGGCTCGATTGCTAATTTTATCATTTGCAGAAAGATATACAATTTTTTGAATCAATGTTATACAGAATATATGTAAATGCATATTCGTGTGAACACAAGTTTAGAAATATTTTCATATTTTGGCTATAGCTGTCTCCTTGACGTTTTCAACTTTAATTATTATTATTATTATTATATATATACACATATATAATTATTATAAATATTTTTTTATCATATTTATAATTTCAATGCAAAGTAATTTTGTGTTTGTACTTTCAATAAAAGCTCACATTTTGTGCCAATAAAATTTTGTCTTACTACTTTAGATTCATATGTAAATCAATAATTATTAGGAATATTATTGGTGAACTCATTTGGCCTCCATGATGAACATATTTGAAATGAAAATCAGCAATACAGATGTTGTGCTGTATTCATTGTAATTGTAAGTGTGACAAAAACCTACCATTATAGGCTTAAAATTATTTGTCCCAATTCCATTGTCTAATGTCTGATATGTATTCCATTATAACCATTAAGAGTAACTTCAGATGTGCTAGTTCAAAAAAAAAAAACAAGGCATATAGAAAGCATCAAAATAAATGAAGACCTTATGTGCTAAATGAATAAAATTAGAGATATAACTTATTACTCCCATATATGTTCAAACTTATTAATGAATAAACATTACTGGTCCTTTGCAAGATCATTGTCAATAAACAAAACATGTTATGTGCACTGATCAGTAGACTCAAACTAGCTTCTATTATGGAAAGCTAAATAAAAGCCACATATATATAATGAAGAGTGACAAAATGTAGTAGATTTCGCTCACTTATACTCAATGAAGTTGTGTGTGGGTGGCTATAAAGTTCCAAGGAATTAAAATGTTGAATTTTGTTGCATGCATTACTCCAATTTACCTTTCCCATGGTGAACACCTACAAGAAACGCATAATGCTTTATCTCACCTAACATAAACTCAATAGCCAAAAGGTAATAAAAAAACTTTCTGTTAAACCCATGCCCTACGAATAATTAACACAAACACAATTTGTGAAAACTTGTATTTCTTATTAACTCCAACTAATCTTATGAAAATACGAACACACCTGAAACGGTTCTCATTAACTTTTTTATAAGCAACAATTTCTTAAGCCTCTGGAAAAATTTTAATAATTTGTTCATAATAAATATAAATGTAAATTTATTTGTAAAGGTAATGTATATCTTAAATTAATTTCTTTATCATTCAATTTCTTATCAAATTCTTCAGTTTTATTGTTGAAATGAGTCTATATATTATATATACAATTCCACTACCTAATAGAATGAAATCAGAAATGCATTGAATAGTTGTTTTTTATTCAAAATCATTTTATTTTTGATTAACTAACTCTCTTTTCATATAAATCATAATTTTTTTTTTCGTCTTTAACGCGATTGAATTATTAGCAACTAGAAGATCAAAGCTTAGAAGCCACACAAGATAAATAATAATCAAAAAAAAAATTAACAATTAAAAATTAAGCTATACTTCTTTATCTATAGAAATAATAACCTATATATTGTCTAGGACCTAGCCTAACCTCACATACAAATATACAATCAAATACAAGTCAAGTGCTTGAAGTCATCTTGGAAATGAACCATTTAGTTGTGTTATTTACTAATCTTGGTAAAATTCACAACTAACAATAAGACGGATCGGATGGATTGTAACTTTGGATCCTACTATGAAAAACCATGATGAAAAAGTCGAGAAGAAGAAATTCAGAAGACGAACTACTAAACAACTAAGTTTGATCCATAGGTTTGATCCTATTTTTTACATAACCGATAATTATTTTTTGCATAAGGAAATGCATAAGGAATATTTATAATACATTATTCGTATTTTTTTTAATATAAAATCTAGAATACTTAATAGATTATAATAAACAATCTAACTTAACTATGGATACGTAGAAACAGAAATCATATTCAGTTTGCAATGTAATATCTGTAGAAACAATTAATTACTCATGCAAATTAGTAAATTATTGTTCTGTTCATTATTTAATGAACTTATAAAATTTTTCTTCGATCGAAGTTAATATGGAATCGAAAAAGAAGTTATCTAGTGTTCAATACCGTAAGCGCAAACCTACGAAAGTTTAAATTATTGGGCATTATTGATAAAAAATTGCGAGGTGATTTAGTTTGAACGAAACTTGTTAAAAAAATAGATACAAACTATAATAGAAAAAAAATGGCAAATGGAAAGTCAGCGCTTAGAAAATGACTATAAGACCAAGAAACTTAATTGTAACTTTTGTATTTGTTGAAAATGTTTCAATACCGTAAGCGCAAACCTACGAAAGTTTAAATTATTGGGCATTATTGATAAAAAATTGCGAGGTGATTTAGTTTGAACGAAACTTGTTAAAAAAATAGATACAAACTATAATAGAAAAAAAATGGCAAATGGAAAGTCAGCGCTTAGAAAATGACTATAAGACCAAGAAACTTAATTGTAACTTTTGTATTTGTTGAAAATGTTTCAATACCGTAAACGCAAACCTACGAAAGTTTAAATTATTGGGCATTATTGATAAAAAATTGCGAGGTGATTTAGTTTGAACGAAACTTGTTAAAAAAATAGATACAAACTATAATAGAAAAAAATGGCAAATGGAAAGTCAGCGCTTAGAAAATGACTATAAAACCAAGAAACTTAATTGTAACTTTTGTATTTGTTGAAAATGTTTCGCATCTGATTAACTTTGAACTTTGAAGACATGCGTGGTAAGGTTTATGGAAATGGAGCAAATATGAAAAATGTAAGCAAAATGTACTTATAAACAAAACTCGAGAGCTTTTTTTATACCTAGTGGTGTCCATACTAAATTTAATTATTAACCAAGCAGAAATAATACAGATACAAATATAGTTGTGTTTTGTTTTCGATATAGTTCAGAAAATTTGTAATTTTTTTGCATCTTTTAAAATACGTTAAAAATTTAACTTTAAAACAACAGTCTGTTTAAAAAACAGTCTGATATTTTGAATCAGATGGAAAAGTAAACATGAATACAATTTGGCTTTACGATATTAATAAGTTACTGATGCAATTTTGGATATTGTGAACAATGAAAAAAAATTAAAATGAAATTCAAAAAATCTAACATGAAAAATGAATGTTATGCTTAAAAATGAAAATGAGTCTAATGAAATAGGTGAAGTGTTTCAAAACCCAAATATTAATATTACATATATGTTAGAAATACTTAAAAATGTAAAATATTTAATTATGGTCAACCCGCAAATCGCTTCGATTTTCTAAATAAAATTAAAATCAATGTATTTCATACGCTTTTAGATTATTTCTAAATTTTTTTGTGAATTTACGTAAATATTCATATAATTTTAATGATAAATGAAATAAATAAAAATGAATAAAAATAAGAAATAAGAAAATAAGAAATTATAAAGAAAATAAATAAAATGTAAAAAGAGTTAAAATAATTAGAGGGAGGGGCGCTAGAACAAATCTTGCATGCGGGCGCTGAGGACCCCAGGACCGGCTCTGTATATATATATATATATATATATATATATATATATATATATAGAACAGAACTAAGAATCTGCACCATAATTCTTCATTTTCTCTGCACCTGACCTGTACATGTGATTATTTCATGGCCAATTTTAATAATGAACTTAATAGAAGCATTTTGAATGGCTGGAAACAGGAAATCGTTTGCAATATAATAAATATGTTAATTGATTTTAGCAACCATCTAACAATCTTTTTAAAAAGCTCACAATCTCATGTGATCTGGACTCTGGACTAAAAATATATGAATCGCTAACCGTCCAGTACAACTTTTATGTGACTGGATTCAGATTTGAAGTTTTCTTCTCCTCCGCCATTTGATCATTTCCCTATTTTCTTTTTTGTTAAATACTTAAATATTTTTGTTAAATATTTATTTAGTTTACCAAAGGAATCGCGATGGAGCAAATAACATCAAATTTTCTTCACTTTTTTGCTAAAATATGCTATCGTTACATTTATCAGAACACGATTTGAATATTATATAGGTACTTACACATGCACATCTCTTATCATTTTCTTAATTTAGATGTAAGTTGGATTGAATGTACTATCAATCAATATTAGTTCTTGATTATGAGTTATTGTATTGCACTGATCCTTTACGCTGTTTACATGTTTAGGACAAAACTTCCCAATCAATATGCGTTTCAAAAAAGTATACCGCTTATTAAATAAATTACTACCGAATCTTGAGCTCTTTCTAGAAGAGACGAATATTGGTCATTAAAATTGGTCAAGTGAAAACGATCGGAAGTTGCAATGTGACCTTTCGTTGGAAATCGAATCGCCATAACCATTTACCTTGTTATTTGGTTATAAATATTTGAATATAGTTTACTGGTAAAGATTAATTTTCAACGATTTATTTGAATTTGAAAAATAAAAGTAAATTATATAAAATAATAATGATTTCATTATGATCAATACATGGCAATAATTGTAAACGTTTGCTATAGTAATTAATTACTAACCCTTAGTAATCCTTAGTAATAATTTTATTGACTATTATTTGTGAATACATAGTACGGACGTAATTTGCATATGAGATT